TATTCCAGGGGTATGTCATGATGCATCATAACAGGTTGATTAAAGATACCTATAATCTGGATTGACACTAGTAAAACACTGAGGATGTATTTCATCTATTTAGAAAAAGTAAATTGAGACAATAACCATTCACAAACACACAAGTATGTCAGCAAACTTTGCTGCTGCTGCTGAAGAAACAAGTTAACAAGCTAACAAGCACTCAGCTTTTTCTTACAACTCAGGGGCTCATAGAACTTTAAACTGCAATTGGCCTTACTTTACCATTTACAGTAGACACCTTCCTGCACTCTTCTTCCTCCCTCCACGTTTAAACTTAATACTTTGTGCATTTGTTGTCGTGATTTTATTCCCCTCAGGGTAGACGGTTTAAAAAAATGGCCTTCTTTCAGTCAAGAAAACTTTGTAATTTGGCTGCTTCATTTTGATCCATCTATTTTTTTGATTGAAGTATGATAGCTGCAGACTAAATAGAGAAAGACAAATATTTGTTGCAACTGTGCAAGAGCGACCTAAAAAGAGAGGAGACAATTGTGCTTCCTCACCCAATCATATCAATCTGGTGTAGGTACACCTCTGGTGCTGTTAGGGAAATAATTCCAATATTTTGACTGACCAACAGTGAAGGAATTCTGACGTAGTGCCAAGCCTGGAAGGTGTGTGCCTTGGAGGGGATCATACAGGCAGTAGTCCTGTAAATCTGCCCTTGACCTTCTGGGTTATAGAGGTCATGGATTTGGAAAGTGCTGTCAAAGGAGCCTTGCTGCAATGCATCTTCTATTATACTACGTACTACTGCCAGGGTGCATTCATGGTGGATGGTGCTGATCAAGTAGGCTGCTTTGTCCTGGGTCGTATTGAGCTTCTTGAATATAGTTCAAGCAGCACTCATTTAGTCAAATGGAGAGTATCCCATCACACTAATGACTTGCCTTGTAGATGATGAACAATTTTCAGGAATCAGGAGGTGAGTTGCTCGCTACAGAAGTACAGTTGCTCGCTACAGGGGTAGTCAGTCATTATAATGCCATTAAACATCAGAGGAGGTGGTTAGATTATCTCTTGTTGGAAATTGGCACTTGTGTGGTATGAATGGTACCTGCCGCTTATCGGGCCAAGATTTTGCCACTAATGAACAGCTCACATTCACTTACCATTCCCTTCCAAAAACCTTTGAAGTTACCTTTTCTTCTTTATTTTTTCATAAGATGTGACAAGGCCAAAATCTATTTGTTCTTGAACTGAGTTGGTTACTGGTTCATTTCAGAGATCAGTTAAGAGTAACAGGTCAGACAGGTAAGGATGGCAGATTCGACTCCTTAAAGGGTATTAATGGATTTTTACAGCATTCAATGATGGTTTCATGGTCACCAGTATTGAGACTAACTTCATATTTTTATTAATTGAATTTAAATTCTACCAACTACTATGGTGAGATTTTTGATTTGATTTGATTTGTTTTTGTCACAATACCAAGATACAGTGAAAAGTATTGTTTGGCATGCTAGCCAGGCAAATAATACCTTACATAAGTACATCACGGTAATAGAACAGAATGTAGAATATAGTGTTACAGCTACAGATTGGGGGAAGAGAAAGATCAACTTTAATATATGAATGGTCTGTTCAAAAGTCTGATAACGGTGGGGAAGAAGACATTCTTGAATTTGTTGGTACGTGTTTTCAAACTTTTATATCTCTGCCCTATGGAAGAGCATGGAAGAGAGTATATCTAGGGTGGGAGGGTCTTTCATTATGTTGGCTGCTTTCCCAAGGCAGCAGGAAGTACAGACGGTGTCAATGGATGGAAGGCTGGTTTGTGTAATGGACTGGGCTGTATTAACAACTCTGTAATTTCTTGTGATCTTCGGCATAGCAGTTGCTATACCAAGCTGTGATATATCCAGATAGGATGCTCTGTATGGTGCATCTTACCAAAAATTTTGGACATGCCAAATTTCCTTAATCTTCTGAGGAAGTAGAGACATTGGTGTGCTTTCTTGGCCATAGTGACCACGTGGAAGGACCAGGACAAATTATTGGTGATATTTACTCCTAGGAATTTGACACTCTCGACCATCTCCACCTCAGTACCATTGATGCAGACAGGCATGCCCTCTAATCTGCTTCCTGAAATCAATGACTAGATCCTTCGTTTTTTTGATGTTGATGGAGAGATTGTTGTCTTTACATCATGCTGCCATAAACACTCAGTCTCTTTCCTGTATTCTGTCTCATTATTGTTGGAGATCTGACCTACAACAATGGTGTCGTCAGCAAACTTATAAATGGAGTTGGGGTGGAGTTTGGGCACATGGTCATGAGTGTATAAAGAGTGTAGAAGGGGGCTGAGTACGCAGCCTTGCGAGGCACTGGTGTTGAGGATTATTGTGGAGGAGGTGTTGTCACCCTTTCTTACTGATTGCGTTCTGTGGGTTAGGAAATCAAGGATCCAGTTACATAGAAGGAGCCAAAACCTACGTTTCAAGTTTGGAGATGAATTTGTTTGGAATTATGGTGTTGATGGTGGAGCTGTAGTCAGTAAGTAGGAGCCTGACATAGGTATCCTTGTTATCCAGATATTCCAGGGATGAGTGTAGGGCCAGGGAGATGGCATCTGCCATGGACCTGTTGCAACAGTAGGCGAATTGCAAAGGTTCAAGGTGATTTGGAAAGCTGGAGTTGATGTGAGCCATGATGAACCTCTTGAGCACCTTCATAATAAGAGGTCAGATCCTGTGGGCAGTAGTTATTGAGGCACGCTGCATGATTTTTCTTCAATACCAGGATGATCGTGGTCTTCTTGAAGTATTTGGGAACTTCAGGTTGTAGTAAGGAGAAGTTAAAGACATCAGCGAATACTCCTACCAGCTGGTCTGCACAGAATCTGAGTGCACAGACAGGGGCTCCATCCAGACCAATCACATTCCATGGGATAACTTTCAAGAAGGCCAATCTAATGTCCGTGGTGGTGCCCATGGGTACAGGTGCATTCGAGGCTGTTGGAACAGATGAACTCATTTTACTGACCTTCTGTTCAACTAACTGACTCATAAGCCATTGGTTGATGGTTAACCATACTCACATTACATCCGTTTCCTGGCTATCCAAATACTATACTGTTGTCTTTGCTAATTATGTATTAAGAAATGAAATTGTTTGCCAAACCTGTACCAAATTTCTTAAATGTTCTCTTCACTGATGTCCTAATTTCGACAAACACCACTTGATCAAAAATATACCTATCCATAGCCTATGTTGACACTATATTCTGGATTCTGTCTTGTTCATCTATAACCATCAAGTTCTATGAACCTGTACTCAAAATCTTCATCCTCATCTTCAAATGCAAAAGCAGGAAATGTGTGACCACAAACAAATCTGTAACACAGTGGTTCACTCATATCAGGCATGGTGACCTACTAAGGTTAATAGAGATATACCTCAGGAGGCTGAATTCTAGTGTGAAAGTATTGATAAAGGAGTTCAGTTTTCTTCAAACATGATAGTTGGACAATATGGAACATCCATACAGTCAATCTTGTTCTTAATTATTATGTCTTTACATCTATCCCCTGAACAGTACACAAACAACATTTCCTGGGTTATACACTTTACCCACACATAAGAAATCTCACACCTGCATATTTCACACACATACTAACAGCAAATTATTTTAAAGACTTCAGTTATTGCCTCTAAACAGATCAAAATAACCAAGCTTAGAATCACCTGACCTAATTGATGTGCATTCTGTCTTACACACAAAACTATCTTAGACCGAGGTTTTTTCCATGAGATATAATCCAATATTTTTTTCAAATAAAGTTAAAACACACTAGGACTGCTTGAAATAACGGAAATACCATGTCATTTTTTAATTATTCTACTGTTTCATATTATATAAACAAACAATTTTTAAAAGCACAAGGAATCAGATGTCTTCATAGAATCCCTACAATGCAGAAGCAGGCCATTTGGCCCATCAAATCTGCATTGATCCTCTGAAGAGCATCCCACCCAGACCCACCTACCCTACCCCAGCTCTGTAACCTTACATTTCCCATGGCTAATCCACCTAACCTACACATCTTTGGACTGTGGGAGGAAACTGGAGCACCTGGAGGAAACTCACACAGACACAGAAAGAACATGCAAACTCCAAACAGACAGTCACCCAAGGCTGGAATGAAACCTGGGTCTCTGGCAAAGTGAGGCAGCAGTGCTAACCACTGAGCCACCACGTTTGCCCTATTACACTCTGTCTTTTTGAGTATTATTGCTGTAGATATTTCAGGCACATCTATTTTAACTGTTCTTTTCCAAGAACAGCTGAAAAGACCAATGGTTTGTTTCCATGCTGTATATCTCTATGATTCTATGACTCTATAACACTTTAACAGAATTTACCCTTCAGGTATTTGAAAGTTTATGTCAAGAAGGCTTTCAATATTCCCAAACAAAATGCCTTACTTGTTATTAAATTTTATTAACTTATTTATCAAATTGCATACAGTTTTGACAAAATTATAATGCCATTGTTTGGCAAGAATTTAATGGCTAAAAATTATGTTGCTGCTGCACGTATTGTTAGATTATAAAAGCATTTGATGACAAAATATGTACCAACATTATAGTTTGGTTACCAAAAGAATTATCAACAAGCTTGTGTTGCAGTGGAGTGCTCGCTTAAAGCTGTTCCCATTTGTATAGAAGTGTGAAAATACCATAAGAATAATGTTTTAATAGTTATTCACTAAGCTGCTCTACCTAAATATAGTTTGCTGTCTTACTTTGAATATGTACTTTTCAAAAGTATTTTAACATCCAATATTCCAAGAGCTTGCCAAATGCATGCTACCATAAGATAGCTAGTAAGATGAGCTAACCAGTTCTGTTGAAAGGTATAAATTATATAGATATATGCAAGCTATTTGTGGAAAGTTTTGTGCTCAATTTTTACATATCTTTATTTATTTTATTATCGAGTACAGGACTCCGGTTATCTTGCTACAAACGTACAGGGCATTGGTAAGACCACACCTGAGTATCGCATGTAATTTTAGTCTCCTTATCTGAGAAAGGATGTTCTCTCGATGGTGGGAGTGCAACAAATGTTTACCAGACTGGGATGGCAGAACAAGAGGTAATTAGTCATACATCAATGATCTTTAGTTTTAAAGGAGCTGGGTAATATCTTGCTAAAAATGAAATGGACAGTAATGAGGTATAATTTCCAACTGGCATTATTACTGTACAATACAATCTGTGTGCTCTGATAACTGACCCTTTAGTCATTGGACCTTCAACAATTTTTACTTTATTTACTCGAAATGCCCCATAGTTTTGAATACCTCTATCATAACTGTAAGAAAGAAAACTTCTGCCCACACACATGTAATACCACATCGCTGAAATCATAATTGTAAATCTCTTGTGCAGCTTCTCTAAAACCAACACACCTTTCTTAAAATGTGGTGCCCAAAATTAGACACAATACATTTGCTGGTGACAAATTAATGTCATAGAATCTCTGCAGTGCAGAAAGAGGCCATTTGACCCCATCAAGTGTGCACTGACCTTCTGAAGAGCGTCCCACCCAGACCCAACACCATAATCCCACATTTACTATGGTTAATCCACCTGCACCCTATGGACAATTTAGCATGGCTAATCTGCCTAACCTGCACACCTTTGGATTGTGGGAAGAAATCAGAGCACCCAGAGGAAATGCACACAGACACAGGGAGAACATGCAAACTGCACCAGATAGTCACCCAAGTTTGGAATTGAATCCAGATTCCTGGCACTGTGGGGCAGCAGTGCTAACAACTGAGACACCATATCATGGCTTCTATAGATTTGCCATAATTGCCTGGCTTTTGCTTTCTATGAGCTAATTTTCTAATGAGTGGGTTTGGGTCAAGTGGAAGGACGACCTCAAGTTTGCATTTCCCAACCATACCTGACTTCAACCCTTATATTTTCAGTTTTTTTATGAGGTCAAAAGGTAATTAAGTGGCTGATCAATTCTAAAGAGGAAACTTGTAACTTTAAGTACAACTATGATATTGTGGCCCCCATTTTCATTCAGGTTTGAAACTTTAAGGGCTGTCAGCTAGTTTCCTGAGTGTCAGATAACTACAGCAGCTTCCTCAAGATGGGGATTTGGTGGAATCAGGAGATCCTGGATCCAGGGGTCTGATTGCTGTTTCTGTGTTGTGATCTGTCTCTAACAACTCCACTCTTCCAGCCTCACCCACACCCACAGCATTCCCACAGTGACTTTCCAATTTCATCTCCAAGCTCTGATTCAATCTACCCAACCAGACCCTTGACTTCCCCAAATCTCAGGGACCAACCTCCCCAGAACTCTGAAACCCCACACTCCCCAGACCTCTAAGTCACCACCATCACCAAGAGACTTCTACCCTCTCCCATTTCAGAGCCCGATCACTTCCCCTACACCAGGTCTCCAAATCCACCCTTCCATCTCTCAGAATCTCTAGTTATACTTTGCCCTGGCCTCCAATTTTCATTCCTAGGTTTCTAATACCATGCCCACACTATGAAACATCTGACCTCTGCCCTCAGATTCCATTCCTTCCACCACTAGGCCACAAGTCTCTGCCACCTCAAAGTCATCTAATGCCTGCTAATGCTTCCAATTCTCCACATGCCCTCAAGTCCTCGAGTCACCCCACCATGAGACTTCCAACCTGTGTTTGAGACCAGTAGTTTATCAGCTGAGGCCCCCTCCTTCACCTACACAGATCAACCATCCCAGTCCTGGACTGAATCAGGCCCTTCTCCTCCTTTAATTAATACCTCTGACCATTCACCTCTCTGGTTATTTCTCAAGTACAAACACTGCCAGACATTATACCACCCCTCCCCTTCACTAATCAGATAAAACCCTCATGCTTATTAGCCTTCCCTTCAGAACACTGTCCTCAGCACAGACTTATTTGCTGTTGTGGCTATCATTGACTGCCTTCCCATCTGAGTGAAGACTTAACTGAGGTCTGACAAGGGAACAATCCAATGACATCAGTGACATTCAATGAAGTTAGAGTCCACAGTATTTGGAGGTCTCCCAAATGGTGAACTACTTCCGACCTTTTCAACTGACCCTGTGGGTCGGGTTAGTTCAGTTCGAATTCTGCCTGTAAGCCTCTATTTATAGAGCCCCAGATTCCATTTACTTTATTAACTGCTTGTGTTAACCTTTCATGCCATCTTCAAAGATTGGTACCTCTCGATGGAATTTCATGGCTTCTGTCATAGCCACTTTGGAGATGGGAAAGGCATTTGATGAGGTGGGATGGTAGCATGTGTATGACCAATGCCTGGATGAAGGTCCTCAATTTGCTATTATCCCATGTGAAGACGGTGAAACTGGCTTCCCTCCTTTAGTTAAACATAAATCCCCACCCTATTAGTTATAATAAGGTGGACTTGAAACAAAGAATCTCTTTCCTTGTGGATACCATTCACAGTTCCAATGTATTCACGTTTTAAAAGGAGTCAAATTAACTAGGCTATCATAAATTAGAGAAAGAATGAGTTCACTAGTTACTAAAATGCAAGGAAAAATAAAAGGCAATGATTTACACACAGATTAAAAGTGAGGTACATAAAAAGGTAACAGTTAAAAAGATATACAAATCAGTTTTTGGTTTGTTTGTGTAAAGTAGCTGATGAAACATCGCAGCTGTTAAGCTGATGGATTCTGGTAGTGTTGACACTAGTAGGTGAGCAGTTGGTTTGGACAATCTGGGTTTGCAAATTAGCCAAAAATAGTTGATTGGTTTTCTGTTTGAATACAGCTTTTGACTGTCAATTTGCTTCTAGCAATCAGAGAGAGAAAAAGAGATGGACTTTCCTTTCTTCTTTACCTACAAACAAAGACTACATTTACTTACCTCACATTATGTCCATAGTCTGGGAATGTAACTCATAGGAGGTGATTCAGGCTTTTGTATTGTATCTATTCCTTTGACTTGCTTCTCTGAAATTCCATGGTACTCTTCTAGGTAAGACATTCAGAGAACTCTCTACAGGCTGAGTGTAATGCAGAGTGAAGTCCAAGGATGTGCCGGCTATGTGGATTAGCCATGGGAAATGCAAGGCTACAGGGATGGGCTAGGGGGCTGGATCTGGGTGGGATGCTGTTCAGAGGGACAGTGTGGACACAATAGGCTGAATGGCCTGCATCTCACCCAGCAGGGATTCTATGATTCTATTCTATGTATGTCCCTTTTTTAGAAAACCTGTAAGTAATTTGGGGCTGTAATTCATTTTCATCATGTGCCTGAAGCCCACTATGGTTCCTGCCTCCTCCTGAGATCAAAGAAAAGAAGGCGCTGTTTAGACCACCTGCATGGCCGCCAGTTGAGGCTCTAAAGTGTGCAATTAATGATCATTAAAGGACCTCATCCCATCCTACCTTGTACTTCGTGATATTGTTTTAATGGGAAGCAATTAGATTCAATTTTCAATGTCAGTACTGATAAGTTCTTTGACTTTGTGAATACCTAAACTTTAGTTTAAACTTTAGGTTAAGTTTTAAATCAAAGGTTGATTCTAGTTAATAGAAACCAACATACATATCCTAAATACACATTACGTCAGCTTTATTAATCACTCACATCTGCATCCTGAAAAACTGGATTATAATTCTTATTATATTGTGCAACAGCTAGAGCATTCTGTACTGACAGCAATCATTATATTCCCACAGCAGTATCTATTTGCAGGATACTATGGCTTTAACATTTTAAGATGCATTTTGTTTTGATTTTTTTCATGAAAGAAAAGTTGAGACAGAAATAATGAGCAATCTACTCAAAGCCAATACAGTAAACAGCTTGTGAGGCCTTGGAGATTTTTTGAAAGTTGGAACAATAGAAGCAGCCTGAATGGGTGGGGTCAAGCTCCCAGAGAACCAGAACTTTTAGTTTTAAAGGTTTGCAGTTGCTGGGATCTTAAAGCTGAATGTGGAAATTCTTATTTCTCTCTGTGTTACATCTAAAAACTGGGATCCTCTTCCTGCTATCAGAATTAATGTGAAACAATCTAGTTCACTGAATTTGCCAAGGGTGTGTTTATGGGATGTTACTATATTAGAACAGCTAATTAGTAGTTGTTTAGTAATTTTGTTAAGCATTTTGATAGAGTTACAGTTAAGCCAAATCTTTTCTTTTATTTTTATTTTGTCTGTATTTTAACTGTAGCGTAAAAATAAAGTGTGTTTTGCTTAACGTCGAGTAGCTTGACCAATTAAATTGCGCCTGGAATGCAATGCCTTACACTACTTTTAAAATAAGAAAAAGTTATTATCTTCTTAATATGTTTTGAGGGGGTTGGTCTGGTCCATAACACTGCGATATCTAGTATTGCAATGAATCGTCAATTTAAGAGCAACTGTTGTAACTGCAGACAGAAAATTAACGTAGAAAATGCCAGAAACACACATTAGGCTAGCAGCATATGTGGAGAGAAAAATAGAGTTAACATGTAGGTTGATGATCTCTGAAAGGATCAATATTATTTTATAATTGAATATCTACATCAATAATGTCATTGCACTTTTAAAACTAAAATATAGTATTTTTATGAAAATTATGTACACTAACTACGGTAACATTTCTGCTTGGAACGTAAAGAAATAAAACCAGAATTTCATTATATTCCTGTTAAACTCTGAACTAAATATTGCATTTCATTTTAATTTATCTAAACTTGTGTCATAATAGTCAACTTCAAAAATAATGTAGAGGTCACATGAATAAAAAATCCAAATGTTCGAAAGTTAAAAAGATGATTTTCATTAATGTCAAGTTGACTTAGGACGATAGTTGTGAAAATTCTAAGCCCTCAGTCAGGATGTGAAGTTTTAACATTGAGGTCATGTTGTACTTTGAGACATGGGTGAGACATGGGTAAAAACAATTCATTCCGGATCGAGTGCAGGAGGTTTGATGAATGCAGAATGAAATGGAGGTGATCCATGCTGTCTATACTTTCATCCAGATCAGCAACAGCTTTTCCACCAAGAAGACAGTCAATGAAACATAAGTGTCTTACTTTGGTGAAGGCAATAATTCCCTGTCTAGTTTCAACCTTAATGTTAACTGAAAATGCACTGCACACTTTCTGACTCAAAGTTATAGATGAGATTCAATTATATTTCTTATATATGTTAAATTCACCTCATTTCTTTCCTGCAGGCACAAAGGTTTGTTGTTAACTTTCATGACAATCATAATTAGGTAGATGCTCAACCCCCCACAATCAGACCAATAATTGTGTTTCAAACACTGAAAGAACTAAAATCTTTGACTACTGGGTCTGACACAAAGCTTCTTTCACAAGGAGAGATACTTATCACTGAGTATGTAGATCAACTGGGATAAAACAGTAGAACTTACATTTGTCAGGCCACCATACAGCAATTTAGCTTACAATGCCTCAAAGGTAAGTAAGACAGGGATAAGGTCCCCTGGTTGGTTTTTCAGAATATTCAGTGTTTGATTGGCAGATGCGTAAAACAAACCTTACTGGTCCATTCTGCATTATTAGGCTTTAACAACACCAAAGTACAGCGCTGCAGTAATTCATGCATGAGGGAACTGAGTGCCTGTAATCAGGAGAAGACAGACACAAGATGGATAATGCAATGAAATTTCTGCAAGATACAATTTGTTCATTGCTACCTGACAAAAATCCAGCATTTATCTTTAAAGACTGTGAGTTAATTTTATACAGCATTTGAAAAATTATTCCATAAATCTATTATTGTATTTTCGTATACCAATAGAAAAATCTAAATTACTTTAGCATGTTTATAGGCTCACAATATACCTTACAAGGCTGCATGTCTTTTTGCAAAGTATGCATATTTCTACCATAATAATATTAAATATTTGCAATAATGAAAAGATCAAAAATGCAATTGATTTTGAACAATCATATAAAAGCACGTATCAGTACATTTCTTGTTTTATCTTGCTGTTACCTCTACTTTTTTATTAGTTAATTATTGTGAAATGGAGCTTTGCACACAATAAAAATAACATTTCATAGATTTGCTTTATCTCCTAGATCTCGCTGAATCTATGATAGCAAGAAATAGCCCTTTTGGAACTAAAACTGCTTTGTTTCAAAGAAATCTGAATGCTATTTTATGTATAGTTGGTTCTGCCATGTGGCCTGAAGCAAATATGTTCAATCAGTCAAGATGGATTTTAAACCAATTACTCTTTGAAATATAAAACATATAACACAAAGGAAAACTACAGTGGTTTGTTAATTTTATGATGACAGTTTCTGCCTCCTTAAAATATTGTGGCTCTCTAAAATTCACAGGGATAACTGTTGTATAATTATTTGGGACTACACTTTGGCTAACACCTAGGGGTACTCCATAAATTAAGTTTGTGGTATTTGTCTGTAACTAGTCCATATAGCACACAGGATGAACTTCAAAAGTATGCATTTGTAATTTATTGAGTGCTGACAGAATTTTCCTTAACTGCATTTTCATTAAAAGTGGCATTTTTTAATTTAACAAATACTGCAGTGGGTAATTTTTAACAGCAAAAATAAATTGACCAATACAAATCCTTTATTATTTTAAACTGTAAATTGTCATTGAATTTATTTAAATAATACGTATGTAAATTTGTAATATACATTACGTTTAACAGTTCTGACCTCATTTCCAGTAAATAAGTTAATAAATAAAAACAACAGAATGCAGGTAAAATAGCCATGCAATATTGGTAAGTTAGATGAAAGAGGCAAATTAAGATCACAAAGAACAGAACGTCTTTGAAGTTAACAAACCTGGAAGAAAAGTGTTAATAAATTGAACAGGAAAATTGGAAACAAAAACAGGAAACACTTAGAAATACATAGAAGGCCATTCAGTAATTGTAAAGAGAAAATGTCAGATAGCATTTCAGATCTCAAACGTTTATCCAGACCTGAGTTTATACTTTTGCCTGCAGTATATTTCAAGCATGTTGCGTTTGTCTCAATTTGCAATGTTTCCATTTCTTTCACTTGTACGGATTAAATACAGTTATATCTCATTTGGCCTTTGAAATCTCTATCCATATCCAATATCTGATGGAAATACTTATTAACAACTTACATCTCAGAAAAGCTCATTCTTGTGACTGCTGCATGCTTTCTATTATTAATTTTCAGTTGATAAGGTTAAAAATGTAACAGATTTCTGGTGTTATGACACTTTTTTAAATTCATTCTTGGGAGGTGGGCCACTGGCTGAGCCAACATTTATTAGCCATCCCTAATTGCCCTAGAATAGATAGTGGTGAGCTGCCTTCTTGAATCACAGCAGTGCTTTTGGTACAGGTAATTCCACAATGCTGTTTGGGAGGGACCTGCAAGAAATTGACCTAACAAGACTGCAGGAACAGCAATATAGTTCCATGTCAGGGTGGTGGACAGGAATTTGCACATATTGCAAGATGGTTTTCCCATATATTGGCTTCCCTTGTCCCTCTAGATGGTAGTGGTTTTGGGTTTGTAAGTTGATACTAAGGAGCTTTGGTGAATTTCTGCAGTGCAATTTGTAGACAGTACACATTGCTCTTAAAGTACATCGGCGGTGGGGGGAGAATGTGGTGCCAATCAAGCGGGCTGCTTTGTCCTGGATGGTGTAAAGTTTCTTGAGTGTTGCTAAAGTTGCACTCATCCAGGCAAGTGCAGAATATACCTTCACACTCCTGACTTGTGCCTTGGTGGACAGGTTTTGGGGAGTCAAGAGGTGAGTTAATCACTGTCAGATTTCTAGCCTCCGACATGCTGTTGTATCCACCGTATTTATGTGTCCAGTTCAGTTTCTGGTCAGTGCAGGATATTGTGAGTAAGGGATAGTTGGATTCTCTTTTCTCAGCCTGGCAATTGTGTGGCATAAATATTAGTTGTCCCAAATGTGAACATCATCCAGATCTTCTTGTATAGGAGTCATGAATGGGGCTGAACACTGTGCAATCATTGGCGAACATCCCCACTTCTGACCTTATAATGGAGAGAAGAACGTTGATGAAGCAGCTGAAGAGGATTGGGCCTAGGTCACTAACTGATAAACTCCTATAGAGAAATCCTTGGACTGAGATGACCAATCTCAAACAACCACAATGATTTTCTTTTATGCCTGGTATGAGTCCAACCAGTGGAACGTTCTTCCCTGATTCCCATTGACTCCAGTTTTCCCAAGCCTCCTTGATGCCACACTCATTCAAATGTGGCCTTGATGTCAAGGGCAGTCACTGTCATCTCATCACTGGAATTCTGCTCTTTTCACTCCATTCAATCTAAGCAATAAGATCAGGAGCTCCGTGACTCTGGCAGAACCCAAACTGATTATGAATGAGCAGGGCATTGCTAAGCATGTGCTGCTTCATTGCATTGTTGATAATCCCTTCCATCACATTACTGATGATCAAGAGTAGACTGACAATGTGGTAATTGGCTGGTTTGGATTGTCCTGCCTTTTGCATACAGGAAGTACCTTAGCGGTTTGAAGATTACAAAACAGCTTTACATAGTTTCAAAAAACTATTTTTGAAATTGTGTAAAGCTGTTTTATAATCTTGAAACATCAGTTCCAATCAGCACAGAAGTTAAACATTTAGCTGACTGCAGAAGACTTTAATAGGATTTAATTGAAGAAGTTATTTGCTTTTCTATGTTTCTATTTTTCATTTTCCACTCAATCTCAACATTGAGTTACTAGTACCATATGAATTATGCAGAGCTACACCCACTAGATTCACCTTGATGAATATCAAGAACCAAATTTTCTTTATAATTAGTTTCATATGGTATATCAAAAGACAGAACTCATTGCAGTCATAATATAGATTCCTTTACAATTATTAATTGAAAATCTGGCATTCATATTGTAGACAAACTCCTATGAGCACCAGCATTGTGCTAGTTGAGATTTATAATCCTACTGACATCTATAATACTTGGTCACTGATCGAATGGCAAGATACAGGTAAGTAATGCAGGATGTTATTTAGATTTGGTCTCCCAAAAACTCTCAATGTGGCATATAGAGATTAACAAAGGAGTCTATATGAATGAATCCCATATTTCTGAAACAAAAGCTATTTGTATTTTTAAAAGCAACTACCATCCTTTTTGAACCATGTTCCTGACATCCAATGATGATAAAGTCCATAAGCTAGTGGGGCACCAATTTTATCAGTCACAGAACATTTAAGATTTAAAATATAGAACCAGCAACAGGAAACATATGATATATATGCATTTATGACTTTCCATATATCAAGCTAAGAGCTCAACATACACAAATACTGTTTCTTCAGCTGCTTGAGACCTTCCCTAGATCTGCCTGATTTTACATTTCATCTGCTTGTCAACATGAACAATGAGGCATTTTATTATTGCTGAGAAAGTCGTATTTTATCAAAACTTTTCATCTTGCACTTATTAGAACAATTCACAAGAATATCCATGTGAAAGAGAACAGAATTTTTATACTGGATGAGAAATGCCTGTTGACTGGTTGGAAAAGTGGAAGCTGATTGTTTGCTGTTCCCCTTCACATTGGCATTCTTGAAAATTGGCCTGATGAGTGGAAGATGAAAAGCTTTGACAAAATGTGTCCTTTTGTCAGCAATACTCAAGTTCTATATTCGCAAATGACTATTTGTATGAGGAATTGTTTTGAATATTTGAGCACCTTTCTGTTCTCAGAAAACATGAAACTAAAAGCAGGAGAAACGGGATCTGAAGAAAACATTTAATTGGAAGTCAGTTGAAAGATAGGTTTGTGCAGAGATCCTGCAAAAAAAGTTTAAGTAATTTGCAAATAACTAAACACTCAAAGAGATGTTATTTTTTGAAATGGTTATTTTCATGTAAATATTTCAGAAGTAGAATGAACACTGTTGGAAGATGGTTTTAATGCTCTATGCTTTATTCCATCTTCCATTACATTCTCTACTACAACCCTCTATTCCCCTCTCTCTTGTTTCCACTTAAATAAATCTCTACTATTCGTTCTGGCCACTCCCAATACTGTTGAATTCCACATTGTCATCAATCTGTGGGTGAAAAGATTTCTTCTGAATTTCCCATTGGATTTCTTGGTGGCTATTTTATATTGATGGCCTCTAATTGGGCTTTTCCCCAGGAGAGAAGTCATCCTTTCCATATCCACCCAGAAAAACATTTCATAATTTTATATTATATGTATTAATGGCATTTTTTCAAGAGCAAACATGTCCAACCTCTTAGCTATTCCATTTGTATACCCACATATTACTGGTATCATCCTTGTAAGTCTTCTTCACTGTCTTCAGTGCCTCAAATGTCTTTGTTATTGTATAATGAGTAGAATTGCTTGCAATATTCTACGTGTGGTGAAACCAACAATTGATACAGATTTAGCACATCTTCCCAACTTTTCAATTCAATAACTCTAGAAATAAGGTGACAGTTTTATTGGCAACCTAGGAAATTGGTGTGCTGCAAACAAACACTAAGCTTTCCTTAATTACAATTAGATGAAAAATGATAAGGGACCTGCAATGAATGATCAGAATGTTTCATGTCAGGATGTTCTTAAGGCTAGGAAATCAAACAACATTTTTTTTAAAAATTCATTCAGGGAATGTGAACTTCATTGACTGGCTTTATTACCTTTTCCAAATTGCCCTTAAGAAGTTGCCTTCATAAACTGCTGTAGTCTGTTTGGTGTTGGTATACCCTTAGTGACAGTAGGAAAAGAGTTTCAGGATTTTGACCCAACAACACTGATATATTTCCAAAAAGAAGGAAGATTTTGGGAGGTGTGATGCAAATGCTTACAAAGCAAAATGATATGGTCAAACATTTTAATAATGATATCCAGAGCGGGATAAGAAGGGACAGAATATGCTGGTATTTAAAAAAAGCAAATAGGGTCAAAGGGAGAGCAGAATTGTAAAAACACAAAATTTCAAAAAACACAAAACACTTAAATGCATGTAGTATTCAGAAAAAAAGTGAATTATTAGTATAGAAATAAATGGGTATAATCTTATAGCCATTATCGAGGCACAGTCAAAAGGAGCTCAAAGCTGGGAACTTGATATGTGACTTTTTGAAATTACAGGCTGGAAGGTCAAGTTGATGGGAACAGCTTTGTTAGTGTGAGATAGCAAGAAATGATGATGTAAAATCCTTACGGGTGGCGATAAGAAATAATAAGAGAAAGAAGACACTAGTGATGTAGCTGTGATATTTCAGTAATGCCATTAGGGCGGTAGTGAGAGATGATATAGGTTCTATGGAATAAAAGGTTGGATCAATGTGGGTGGAAATTAGAAATAGTAAGGCAAAAATGTCACTGATAGGCATAGTCTGTAGGCCACCAAGTAATAACATTATGGTGGGGTGGGCAATAAACAAAGAAAGAACTGTTGCATGTAAAAATGGTACTGCAATTATCATGGATAGTAGGAACTGCAGATGCTGGAGAATCCGAGACAACAAGGTGCAGGGCTGGACGAACACAGCAGGCCAAGCAGCATCACAGGAGCAGAGAGGCTGACGTTTCGGGCCTAGACCCTTCATCAGAAAAGGGGGAGGGGAAGGGGGTAGGTGTGGACTTTAGGACTTTCCACATCAAGCAGATGTTCACCTGCACATCTGCCAATGTGGTATACTGCATCCGCTGTACCCGGTGTGGCTTCCTCTACATCGGGGAAACCAAGCGGAGGCTCGGGGACCGCTTTGCAGAACACCTACGCTCGATTCGCAATAAACAACTGCACCTCCCAGTCGCGAACCATTTCAACTCCCCCTCCCATTCCTCAGACGACATGTCCATCCTGGGCCTCCTGCAGTGCCACAACGATGCCACCCGAAGGTTGCAGGAACAGCAACTCATATTCCGCTTGGGAACCCTGCAGCCCAATGGTATCAATGTGGATTTCACAAGTTTCAAAATCTCCCCTCCCCCTACCGCATCCCAAAACCAGTCCAGCTCGTCCCTGCCTCCCTAACCTGTTCTTCCTCCCACCTGTCCCCTCCTCCCACCTCAAGCCGCACCTCCATCTCCTACCGACCAACCTCATCCCGTCCCCTTGACCTGTCCGTCCTCCCTGGACTGACCTATCCCCTTCCTAACTCCCTACCTACACTCACCTTTACTGGCTCCATCCCCGCCTCTTCGACCTGTTTGTTTCCTCTCCACCAATCCTCTTCTCTATCCCTCTTCTATCCGCCTCCCACTCTCTCCCTATTTATTTTGGAACCCCCTTCCCCTCCCCCTTTTCTGATGAAGGGTCTAGGCAAGAAACGTCAGCCTCTCTGCTCCTGTGATGCTGCTTGGCCTGCTGTGTTCGTCCAGCCCTGCACTTTGTTGTCACTGCAATTATCATGCAGGATTTTAATCTACATATTGATTGGTCAAAACAAATTGGTCAAGGCACCCCTGAGGAGGAGTTCATAGAATGTACCTATGATAGTTTCCACAAACAGCGTGTAATGGAACCTGCAAGGGAGAAAACTATCCTGGATCTGGTCCTGAGTAATGGAACAGGAATAATTCATGATCTCATAGTTAGAGATCCTCTCAGAAGGTGCAATCGCAGTATTTAGAATATAGATAAAGGGCGAGAAGATAAAATCTAATACAGTATTTTGTGCTTCGACAAAGGAGACTACAATGGCATGAGGAACAGTTGGATCAAGTAGACTGGGATCAAAGACTGTATGGTGGCAAAATTGAGGAACAGTGGAAGACTTTCAAAGCAATTTTTCATAGTGTTCAGCAAATGTATACACCAGTGAAAAGTAAGGACGGCAGGAAAAGGGATAATCAGCCATGGATAAGAAAATAAAGGAGGGTATCAAATTGATAGCTAATGCATTCAAACTGGCAAAGATTAATGGGGAACTAGAGGATTGAGAAATCTTTCAAGGTCAACAGAAAGCTGCGAGAAAAGCCATAAAGAAAGGTAAGGTAGATTATGAGAGTAACCTAGCTCAGAATATAAAAGCAGATAGCAAAAGTTTCTACAAATATATAAAACAAAAAAGAGTGGCTAAAGTAAACGTTGGTCTTTTAGAGAATGAGAAGGGTGATTTAATAATGGGAAATGAGGACATGGCCGAGGTATTGAACAGGTATTTTCTGTCAGTCTTCACAGTGGAAGAGACAAATAACATGCCAATAATTGATGACAAAGAGGCTGTGGCAGGTGATGACCTAGAAACGATCATTATCACTAAAGAGGTATTGTTGGGGCAGCCATTGGGGCTAAAAGTAGACAAATCTCCTGGCCCTGATGGAATGCATCACAGTGTATTAAAAGAGATGGCGGGGGAAATAGCAAATTTTATGGTAATTTACCAAAATTTGCTGGGCTCTGGGGTGGTTCCAGCAGATGGGAAAACAGCAAATTTAATGCCGTTGTCTATAAAAGGAAGTAGACAAAAGCCGGGTAACTATAGACCCATTAGATTAACTTCTGCAGTGCAGAAAATGCTTGAATCTACCATTAAGAAAGAAATAGCAAGACATTTGGATAGAAATTGTCCCATCAGGCAAATGCAGCATGGGTTAATGAAAGGCAGGTCATGTTTAACTAATTTACTGGAATTCTTTGAGGACATTACAGCCATGGTAGACAACAGGGAACCAGTAGATGTGGTGTATTTGGATTTCCAGATGGCATTCAACAAGATGCCACACAACAGGCTGCTGCATAAGGTAAAGGTGCATGATATTAAGGGTAATGTATTAGCATGGATAGAGGATTGGTTAACTAACAGGGATAAGTGGGTGTCTTTCTGGTTGGTAATCAGTGGCTAGTAGTGTGCCTCGGGGTATAGTGTTGGGACAGCAATTATTTACAATTTACACAGATGATTTGGAGTTGGGGACCAAGTGTAGTGTGTCACAGATGACACTAAGATGAGTGGTAGAACAAAGTATGTACAAGACACTGAAAGTCTGCAGAGGGATATAGATAGGTTAATTGAGTAGACAAGGGTCTAGCAGATGGAGTACAATGTTGATAAATGTGAGGTCATCCATTTTAATAGGAATAACAGCAAAATGGACTATTATTTAAATGGTGAAAAATTGCAGCATGCTGCTGTGCAGAGGGACCTGGGTGTCCTTGTGCATGAATCACAAAACGTTGATTTGCAGGTGCAACAGGTAATTAAGAAAGCAAATGAAATATTACTAGAGGGATGGAGTTTAAAAACAAGAAAGTTATGCTGCAGCTGTATAGGGTGCTGGTGAGGCCACACCTGGAGTACTGTGTACAGTTTTGGTCTCCTTACTTCAGAAAGGATATACTAGCACTGGAAGGGGTACAGAGGAGATTCATTAGGTTGATTTTGGAGTTGAGAGAGTTGACTTATGAGGAGAGATTGAGAAGACTGCGACTATACTCATTGGAATTTAGAAGAATGAGGGGGGATCTTATAGAATTGTATAAAATTATGAAGGGAATAGATGAGATAGAACCAGGGAGGTTATTTCCACTGGCGGGTGAAACTAGAGCTAGGGGGCATAACCTCATAATAAGGGGAACAATATATAGGACTGAGTTGAGGTAGAACTCCTTCAGCCAAAGGGTTGTGAATCTGTGGAATTCCCTGCCCAGTGAAGCATTTGAGGCTACCTTGTTGAATGTTTTAAAGGCAAAGATAGATAGGTTTTTGAACAGTAAAATAATCAAAAGTTATGGTGAGCAGGTGAGAAAGTGGAGCTGAGCCCATGAAAAGGTCAGCCATCATTTTATTGAATGGTGGAGCAGGCTCAAGGGGCCAGATAGCCTACTTCTGCTCCTATTTCTTATGTTCTTGCCAGACCTGCTGAGTTTCTCCAGCATTCTCTGTGTTTGTTTCATTGTGCAGCGATTTGTCTTAAACTGTTATTGTCTAGGTAATTCATATTGAATGCTTAATAACAAATTAACTTAGTTTCTATTTACCCAAGAGAAATGATCATTAAATGGCTATAAGAAACCTATTTTCTGAACTTTCCTAAACATTTTAAGATGCTCTGTTTTTGTTCTCACACAGTAAATGTGGTAGAAACATTGCAGGAATTTTGGGAGACAAAGAGCAAGCAAGGAGCTGTCTTTAAGAATGGAAGCCTTGTGGTTTATGAGTCAGGGCCATCTCCTTTTGCTCCATATGTATGTTATGTGACTCTGCCAGGAGGCAGTTGCTTTGGCAACTTTCAGGTAACCCTCTTTTACCTTACATGTTACACATTTACCCTGTAACAATGATGCATTGTTTTAAAAAATACTCCAAATATTTCTGCACTTGAATTTTTGCCTATCTCCAAAATACTGATTGGATTCATCTGTAGTATGTAACAGCCACAGAACAGTCCATCAAATACGTAATGTACTTTCCATTCAACATTTCATGAACATCTTTGCTGTTTAATTTGATGGCTGAATATTGACAACCTATTACCTTCACTTTACAATTATTACAAGGCACTTGTCAGAAGAGGCAAAAGGAATTAATTCTTTTTGCCGAACAACTTTCTATTCAGCAGAATTGGGAAAATTGTGCGATCTAGTTGTTTCTCTTTCTGAGACTACTTATATACTGTGAAACATAAACTTTGTCGTCTGATAAGTGTTCCATTATCCCTATAAGACTGAAAAGTGATGATGGCCTTTTTTGAGTAATTGACTTTCTACGTGTGAAATGTCTTGTGACACAAGGAAAAAGTGCATGTTAAAGCAGAATCCCCCACCCAAAAGCATTTTTTTAAACAACCTTTACAAGGCCTTGTTCAATTTTAATATACTGGTTCAGCATGTAAAATTAGCTTTGTCCTATCACATCAATTTATATAGATTGCCAAGTACAGGTATTTCTGCTATAATGCGAGTTTTGTTAACGCGAATTGGCTGTAACACGATTGATGAATAGTGGACACTTTGAATAACGCAAACTTTCTGCTGTATAGGTATAGTGATTTTCTATAGTGATTTCCCTATAATGTGATTTTCCATGGTGATTTTCTTTAGGGTAAGGTCACACAAGAATGCGACAATCATGTTATAGAAAAAATATCTATATTCTTATTTTCCAACCTATATCTGATCATGAACCAATTTTCCCTCAAAATTAGGCATTTCAGGAGATTTGTACACAGGTTTTTTTAAATTCACTCATGGGACATGGGTATCACAATGTATATAAGAGAAGACATTCAATAATAGAGACCACTGTCTAATGCAGCAGCTTCTTTTTCTGCAGATAACATTAAGTGCTGGCTCATATCCGGGTCAAAATCCTGGTAATCCCTTGCTAACAGCAATGGGTGCAAGAGGTGATTGTGAGCTCTGTCAGGGTGTGCGAATGGAGGGTGAATGTGAACTTTGTCAGGGGTATGTGAATGGGAAGCGATTGTGAGCTGAGTTATGGGTGTGAGGGGGTGATTGTGGGCTGTGCCTGGGGTGTGTGAATGGGAAGTGATTGTGAGCTGAGTTATGGGTGTGAGGGGGTGATTGTGGGCTGTGTCTGGGGTGTGTGAATGGGAAGCGATTGTGAGCTGAGTTATGGGTGTGAGGGGGTGATTGTGGGCTGTGTCTGGGGTGTGTGAATGGGAAGTGATTGTGAGTTGAGTTATGGGTGTGAGGGGGTGATTGTGGGCTGTGTCTGGGGTGTGTGAATGGGAAGTGATTGTGAGCTGAGTTATGGGTGTGAGGGGGTGATTGTGGGCTGTGCTTGGGGTGAGCATTGGCTAAGCGAGTGTGCCTGTGTCCAGGGTGAGGGTTGGTGAGGGAGTGTGGGCTGTGACAGGGATGCAGGGGTAAATGTTTCTGGGGTGCTGTGGGAGTGGTGGCTGATGGTGAGCAATGATAGATGAAAACTCTGCAATTCAGTGAACTCCTGAAGAGGAAGATTGTGATGAAAGAAAGTGCTGGGATGAAACTTCACCATTTGGCCTCCCCATTCTGCGTATTGCTGGTTTCAAGCTGGAACTAGAACAGAAAGGTCTTAAGTAAAAATGTAGGGCCAATTTTAGACTGGGGTCAGTGGCGTGCAGCACACCCCCGCCTCCTCCATTACTGAAGATCTGCCCCAGTGTTTAGAATTAAACTTGCTTATAGTGACTATCATAATATGGATGTGTCAGAATATGGAATGTATAAAGGTAAATATAAATCTTTCAATATTTGGTACATGTTATGGCACATTTAGTAACTTAGAACTAATTAACTGCTTCTTTTTTTCAATTGACAGTGCAAGGTTCTTTACATTTCTTTGAACTGGAGATCAACAGTAGCAGTCACGATGCTAAGTGCAAGTAAATAGAAACAGTAAGAAACTGGAGGATGAAATAACAGGGGTCTGTTTCTCTCAGTCACAGTAAGTCCTGTGACTCCAAAACAACCAGTTTGTGATGGGTGAAGTGTTTACAGAGTATGCAAATATTCAATCACCAATCAAGAGTCTGGGTACTTCTCCTCTGAGGCTGCCCAGGTAGATCGTTCAGGGGTGGGCCACAGTCTGTTGGTCCTATCAACAAAAACTGTGGGAGAGCAGTGGGTGATGGGTGGTATGTCGCTGCTGTCATAGAAGGAGACTTGGTAAGTTCTTCTTCAGGACTACAGGCTGGGGTATAGGGTGGATGGCAGTTGTGAAGGAGGGCAGCAGTATCTGCAAGAGAGGGTATATGATGAATCATGGGTGGGAAGAGTTCATGTGGAAGGGGTGGTTCATCTATGATCAGCAGCACCCTGACTTCAAAGAGGTTGTACAGGACGTTGGTGAGGCCTCTTCTGGAATACTGTGTCCAGTTCTGGTCGCCCAGTTATAGGAAGGATATTATTTAGCTGGAGAGGGTTCAGGAGAGATTTAACAGGGTGTTGCTGGGTATGGAAGATTATAAAGAAAGGCTAGACAGGCTGGGACTTGTTCACGGGAGCATAGGAGGTTGAGAGGCGACATTATAGAAGTTTAAAAAATAATGAGGGGTATAGATAGACTTAATGGGAGTTGTCTTTTCCCTAGAATGGAGAATTTCAAGACTAGGGGACATATTTTTAAGGTAAGAGGAGAGAGATTTAAAAAAGACATGAGAAGCAAAGTTTTTTTACACAGAGGGTGGTTTGTGTATGGAATGAACTTCCTGACAAAGTGGTCAATGTGGGTACAATTACAACATTTAAAAGACATTTGGATAAGTATATGAATAGGAAAGGTTTGGAGGGAGATGGGGCAGGAGTAGGCAGGTGGGATTAGTTTCATTAGGGATTACATTCAGCATGGACTGGTTGGACTGAAGGGTCTGTTTCCCTGCTGTATGACTCTATGACTCGATATGCCAGGGGCTATGTTGGAAATGTTGTTCAGTGCAGGCTCATGTGGACACGCTGGGTGGAGACCACAGGACATGGGAAGCCTGTAGGGTTCATGGGAAGGCCAAACAGAAAGTGGATTTGGAAGTTTGAGGGCTCACTGACAAGCTAAGACTGCAGCTGCAAGCTACTGGGCAGGAAGCCCATGGTTCTGTGGGCAACATATTGGCATAGATAGAAGATTGGCTGGCTAACAGGAAGCAGAGCATAGCAAGAGATGGGTGTTTTTAAGGCTTTCAGGATGTCATGAGTGGTGTGCCATATGCTGGTGCCTCAACTCTTTATAATTTATATAAATGATTTGGATGAAATAAGCAAAGGTATGGTAGCTGAATTTGCTGAGGGAAGATTTAGGCAGGAAGTTGAGTTGTGAGGAAGAAATAAGGGATATATTTGGTTAAGTGAGTAGGCAAAGATCTGGCAAATGGGGTACAAAATGGGAAAGTGTGAAATGTCCATTTTGGCAGCAACTTGTCTATTTTGGTTTGTGGAGGTAATTAATATATTTTAAGTCAGGACTTCCCATTGATTATCAACATTCTTGCTATGAAGTCACCAATTCTACAGACTGCAATTTTAGCACAATAGAGACATGTTTCCAAACAAATGAATTAATCATAACAAGAAAAATTTTATGCTGGACTATGTATTGTATTTACAATTGTGTGAACTTGCACTATCTTCACTATAATTGTTGCTTTAGAAATTCATCTCTAAGTTCTAACTCCTTTTCAGAAGTTAGGGCTACCTGAACAGATTTGAAAGGATGACCATAATTTTTTTAAAAAGTGTTTGTAATTACATGTGTCTATTACTTTCACAGTAATAATGAACTCTAGGCAGAACTTAATCCCTTCTCCTCTAGTCCCATTGGCTGCTTGAATATTCAGTTTCGTTTTAGCCAAAATAAATACTGGTATAACAACTATCTTATGTATTCTGGATTTCATACACATATCTGAGTGGTTAACAGTAAAAAAGAATCTCAGTAGCTTTGTTTTGACTAGTACCTTTGATAAATGAAAAGCAACATTATAACTCACATGTATTGATGGAGTTTACATGGATAATTTAGGTGGATTCAGTTCAAGAATGAACTCTGAAATAATGTTTATTCCAGTGCCCGAAAAGTCTCATTAACTTTAAACAGATGATAATCTTAAGATATCAAAGGTAGTAGTGGAAATATGAGCTCCCTGTAACTTTAAAAATCAGTCATTTTTTACTTTTTAAGGCTATACTTCATGATCAGAGATGCTTGTACATTTGTAATAATCAAACAATACAGTTGACACTTGCCTTCATGCACAACAATGCTTGTGTTAACCAGTATTAATGAGAATATTGTAAATAAAGCAGCTGTGCTTGCCTGTTGTGAATCCAAAACCAATCTGAAGAGGTAAGAAATGATCTTCAGCAAGAATTCTTTAGTTTGTTTAATGTGACTTTGATAAAAAAAGAAAGGAAGTACCAGAAAAGCAACAATTGCATAAGTATTCTGGGGTTTCAAGCTCTTCTAATAAGAAATGAGATGACTGACCCCTTGCCAATAGAAATTCACTCCTGTGATTTTCACTGATGCTTCTGTTACAGGCACTGAGCATTAGCTTTCCTCATTGAGATTAGTGGCTCAGTCAGCTTATTGGCTAGAACAGGCACTAACTGCTATGGAAAATAGAGCAACAGACGCAAAGTGATGGCTTATTGTCTTATTTTGGTTCTGATGTTGTGCAATCAATGCCACAATGTATTCAACTATCTGGATAGGATTGTGGAACATTTCCTTAAAAAATTCTTCAGTAGAATGGAGTAATGAAATAAACTGTAAAAGTGTGAAATTAGTTAAGAAGCAGAATCCTAAGGTGTCTACCAAGAACCATCAGATTTCATTGAGCCTAGTCATTTCTTACACAGAGAAAGAAGACATTATGGATGTCACATCTGACATGTTTTAACAAATAAAAACCCAAGCCAAAGCCTGCCCATTTATCATTTATCTACTTTAACCTTGAGCCTGATGCTCAGACATTGAAGTGAGGTCCCCCTTTTAAAAACTGCACTTGAGCTTTACTCTACTTCCACATCTCCCGACCGTACATAGAACATAGAACATTACAGTGCAGTACAGGCCCTTCGGCCCTCAATGTTGCGCTGACCTGTGAAACCAATCTGAAGCCCATCTAACCTACACTATTCCGTTATCATCCATACGTTTATCTAATGACCATTTAAATGCCCTTAAAGTTAGCGAGTCTACTACTTTTGCAGGCAGGACATTCCATGCCCTTACTACTCTCTGAGTAAAGAACCTACCTCTGACATCTGTCCTATGTCTATCACCCCTCAATTTAAAGCTGTGTCCCCTCGTGCTAGCCATCACCATCCGAGGAAAAAGGCTCCCACTGTCCACCCTATCTAATCCTCTGATCATCTTGTATGTCTCTATTAAGTCACCTCTTAACCTTCTTCTCTCTAACGAAAACAGCTTCAAGTCCCTCAGCCTTTCCTCATAAGACCTTCCCTCCATACCAGGCAACATCCTGGTAAATCTCCTCTGCACCCTTTCCAATGCTTCCACATCCTTCCTATAATGTGGTGACCAGAACTGTATGCAATACTCCAAGTGCGGCCACACCAGAGTTTTGTACAGCTGCAACATGACCTCATGGCTCCAAAACTCAATTCCTCTACCAATAAAACCTAACACACCGTACGCCTTCTTAACAACGCTATCAACCTGGGTGGCAACTTTCAGTGATCTATGCACGTGGACACCGAGATCTCTCTGCTCATCCACACTACCAAGAATCTTACCATTAGCCCAGTACTCTGTATTCCTGTTACTCCTTCTAAAGTGAATCACCTCACACTTTTCCGCATTAAACTCCATTTGCCACCTCTCAACCCAGCTCTGCAGCTTATCTATGTCCCTCTGTAACCTGCAACATCCTTCCGCACTATCCACAACTCCACCAACTTTGATGTCATCTGCAAATTTACTAACCCATCCTTCTATGCCCTCATCCAGGTCATTTATGAAAATGACAAACAGCAGTGGCCCCAAAACAGATCCTTGAGGTACACCACTAGTAACTGAACTCCGGGATGAACATTTCCCATCAACCACCACCCTCTGTCTTCTTACAGCTAGCCAATTTCTGATCCAAACCGCTAAATCACCCTCAATCCCATGCCTCTGTATTTTCGGCAATAGCCTACCATGGGGAACCTTATCAAACGCTTTACTGAAATCCATATACACCACATCAACCGCTTTACCCTCATCCACCTGTTTGGTCACCTTCTCAAAGAACTCAATAAGGTTTGTGAGGCACGACCTACCCTTCACGAAACCATGTTGACTATCCCTAATCAAATTATTCCTTTCTAGATGATTATAAATCCTATCTCTTATAATCCTTTCCAACACTTTACCCACAACCGAAGTAAGGCTCACTGATCTATAATTACCAGGGTTGTCTCTACTCCCCTTCTTGAACAAGGGGACAACATTTGCTAGTCTCCAGTCTTCTGGCACTATTCCTGTAGACAATGACGACATAAAGATCAAAGCCAAAGGCTCTGCAATCTCCTCTCTAGCTTCCCAGAGAATCCTAGGATAAATCCCATCCGGCCCAGGGGACTTATCTATTTTCACGCCTTCCAGAATTGCTAACACCTCCTCCTTATGAACCTCAATCCCGTCTAGTCTAATAGCCTGTATCTCAGTATTCTCCTCGACAACATTGTCTTTTTCCTGTGCGAATACTGACGAAAAATATTCATTTAGCGCCTCTCCTATCTCTTCGGACTCCACGCACAACTTCCCACTACTGTCCTTGACTGGCCCTAATCTTACTCTAGTCATTCTTTTATTCCTGACATACCTATAGAAAGCTTTAGGGTTTTCCTTGATCCTACCTGCTAAAGACTTCTCATGTCCCCTCCTGGCTCTTCTTAGCTCTCTCTTTAGGTCCTTCCTGGCTAACTTGTAACTCTCAAGCGCCCT